TCTGCCCCTCGTTGATGAGAGTAATTTTGATCACTTGTGAAGGTAGTTATTCAATTTCTCCATACTTGTTCCTTTTCAATCAGTATCTTTCCCTGGCTGCCAGTTAAGAAAATCCCATTGATTTATATTCTCACTTAATGGTAAGACTTTCAACACAGCCTAGGAAGCCAAGATCTCAAAGCCCTTTATTAAATACTTAATCAGATTTCACAATGACTGTGAGAAACAGGCCTCCTAATCCTTACCCCCTTTTCTTAGTCTGTACTTCAAATCCTAGTACTTCTGGGGGATGGTTGTTGAAAGAATAAAGAAGTAAAAGGTAGGACAAAGACTTTTACCTCTACATTCAGACGAGATCCGGGGCGTTGAGGGTGGTATGGCCGTAGGCACCTCTACATTCAAATGCTACATTTCCCCGCTAATCATCCTTTTTATCTCTTAGGCCTTTGCTGGTAGTGTGAAGCATGTAAAGAGGGATCAAAAAAAAGAGTAATACAATATAGCCTAGAGTGGCAGACAGACATTACTAATTGCCCACTCCAGTATTTATTACTATCCATAATAATAACTCCTAATTTTTATCTGGATCCATGGCCATCTGCAATGAATAGTGTATTTCCCCTAGTTTGTAGCTTGGTGAGACTGTAGCAGGAAAGAAGATGCCTTTTTCCCCGCCCTCTTTCTTTTTGATGGGAATGTGGATATAATGTTTGTTTGAAATGCAAACATTTTGGATCACAAATTAGCAACTAAGGGTAGTGATAGCAAGACAGAAGGAGCCTAGGTCCCTAATGGTTGAAGAGCTACCATGAACTGCCTACCTTAGATTTTTTTATGTGAAAGAGAAATAAACATTTATTAAAGTTATGTATTATTGTGAGAAAAAGCCAACAAAACAGAAGATTTAAATAAAATCCAGTCTCAGAACATAATAAAGATGTCCAGGTTTCAATCTAAAATGATTCATTATCCATCTCCCCAAAAAACAAATTCATCATACCAAGAACAAGAAAGATCTCAATTTAAAGGGCAATCAATAAATGTCAACAAAATGATAGACGCTAGAATTATTTGACAAAAATTTTAGCGCAGCCATCATAAAAGTGCTTCAGCAAGCATATGAACATGCTCAAAACAAATGAAGAAAGAATATATAAAGATAAACCAAAGGAAATTTTGGAATCCAAAAATAAAAAATTTTGGATGGGCTCAACAGAAAACAATCAGTAACAGGAAACAATCAGTGAACTTGAAGCTAGAACAATAAAAATACCCAATCTCAACAACAGAGAGAAAGCAGACTTAAAACGAAAATGAACAGAGCTTCAGGGACCTGTGGGACTATAACAAAAGTTCTAATATTCATATTAGAGTCCCAGGAGAGGAAAAAAAGGAAAGCACAAAAGAGGTACTAGGACAAATAATGGTTGAAAACTTCCCAAATTTGCAAGAGACATAAACCTACATATTCAACAAGCTGAACAAACCTCAATCAGGATAAAATTTGAAAATAGAGAAAAATTACACCTTACTTTTGGGGAAAAATAATTTGAAAGACAGCAGATTTCTCATCAGAAAGCCTGGACACCAGAAGGAACTGGCAGAATAGTTTTCAAGTGCTAAAAGAAAACTGTCAACTCAGAACTCAGTGAAAATACACTTTAGGAATGAATGGGAAATAAAGATGTTCTCTAATAAAGGAAAACTAAGAGAATTTGTTGCCAGCAGACCTACCATAAAAGAATGGCTAAAAAGTTCTCTAAATAGAAAAGAAACAATAAATAAATGACTCTCATAACATCAGGAAGGAAGAATACGGTAAGCAAAAATATGGGTAAGTACAATACTTTTATTTCCCTGAGTTTTCTAAATTATATTTGAACAAAAATCATAACTGATTGATGTAGCTCTGAACATATATAGATGAAATATTTAAGACAATTACACCTACAGGAAGAAAAAGGGACATAAATGGAGGTAAAGTTTTATCTTCACTAGAACTGCTAATGACAATACCAGTAGATTGTGCTAAGGTATGGAGAAATAATGTAAAAACTAGAAAAACAAGTTAAAGCTATACAACTAAAAGGTATGAAAGCTATGCACTCAAACACACAATAGATTGCTTATCTCAAAACTTATTACAAAGCTACACCAGTCAAGACATTGTGTTCCTGGCATAAGGACAGACATACAGACGAATGAAATAGACTTGAGAGTCCTGAAATAAACCCTTACTTTTATTGGTAATTGATTTTCACTAAGACAATACAGTGAGGAAAGAATATTCTTTTTAATAAAAGATGCCAAGACAACTAGATATCCACTTGCAAAATAATTAAGTTGCTCCCCTTTGTCACACCCAAATTAACTAAAAATGAATGAAATTCCTAAATGAGAGCTAAAACTATACAACTTTTAGAAGAAAACATAGATGCAAATCTTCAGGACCTTGGATTAGGCAATGGTTTCTTAGATATGACACCAAAAGCGTAGCAACAATGACAAAAAGATAAAATGTATATCATCAAAAATAAATTTTTTTGTGCTTCAAAAAACAGGAAAATGAAAAGAAAACTCACAGAATGGGAGAAATGCTTTTGCAAATTATATCTGATAAGGGACTTGTATCTAGAATATAAAAAGAATTATTACAACTCAATAATGAAAAGACAAATGTCCAGCTTAAAAATAGACAAGGGATCTGAGCAGAACATTCTCCAAAGAAGATATACCAATGGTCCATAAACACATGAAAAGATGCTCAATATCATTAGTGATCAAGAAAACATCAACAAATTCTTAACCAAATATTAACAAATAGAATGCGGCAATATATGAAAGTAATTATACATCATGTCCAAATGAGGTTTATTTCAGGGATGCAGGCTGGTTCAGTATTTGATAATTAATATAATCCAAGATGTTAACAGGCTAAAATCACATGAACGTAGCATTCAGTGCAGAAAAAGCATTTGAAAAAATTAAACATTCTTGATAAAAAGTCTCAGAAAAATAGGAATAGAACTTTCCTCAATTTGATAAAGAGCATCCATGAAAATCTACTATTTTTATACTTAATGGTTTAATAAAGACTGAATGCTTTCCCCCTAAAATTAGTAACAAAGAAAGGATGTCTGCTCTCACTAGTCCTATTAAACAAAGTGCCAGGAATAGCCAGCTCCATAAGGCAAGGATAGGAAATAAAAGGTATTCATATCAGAAGGGAAGAAATATTTTTTATACTGAGTATATCAATGTCAATATCCTGGTTGTGATATTGTAGTAAAGTTTTTCAAGGGGAAATAGGTAAACGGCACAGGAATCTCATATCATTTCTTACAACTGAGTGTTAATCTACAATCATCTCAAAATAAAATGTTTGATTTTTTAAAAATGTACGGATTCTCCCTAAATACTTTTTGTTTTTATATGCTTTGCATTCTTAGCATTAATACTAAGGAAAGATAACACATTAATACTATTGGTGATAGTCTTAACTCTCCTATTCAGTGGTCCCTAGAGAGGCCATGTTCTTTTAGAGCATGAGTTTTTGCTTTCGACAAAAATAACTCATTAGCCAGGCATGATGAATGGTTCAACAAGGATGATGAGTCTCTGAGTATGAGGCAGATTTCATTTTACATAGCTAATGTCAGATATCTAAATCAGCTGATGGGGTGCTCCAGGGAAAGCAGCATAAAATGCAAGAAATTACCCTGACCGCTGAATTGGGAAAAAGCGATAATGGTCAAAAATTCTGGCATGAAACCTTTTCTTCCATGGGATCTGTTGGCGTGTATACTGGTGAGGAGTGAGCAGAAGGAAAATTATAATAAGACTATGCAGTCCTGCTGGAGGGGATTGTGTAGTAGACCACTTAGGCTGATGATGATTTGCTTCCTTTTTAAAAAAGGTAATTTTGGGGAAACTTGTGGGAAAAATTGAGCTAACTATGACTAAGACATAGGCATGACATACATGAAGTCTGTTGATTAATTTAAAAGTTTAACATTTATATGGTCGACCATGCTTAGACTATCTCTAGAATTAGGTAACCATTGTTTTGGGGGAGTGTAATTGAATTGTTGAGGGACAAGGAGAGGAAGGAGGGAAATTAATCTTGATTTTTGTATTATGTGGATGTATTATCTATTCATGAGAATGAATAAATTTAAAATTAATTGGTGGCCAGATTTCCTATAAGTCTGTCTTGAAGAGTATTTTCCTCAGGTTTTTGCTTGAAGTTTAAGTTTAGAAACTACCATCTTCCCGC